CTCTCTCTCTCTTTTCCGCAGCTGCGGCCCCCGCTTGGTGCGTTTCGGGGGAGCCCTCGTCCGCCTCTTCCCGCAGGTGCTGAACACTTGGCGAGCCGGCCAGGAGTTCCCTTCGCCCGGGCTGCAGCGGCCTTACAGGTTGGTGGGGGAGGGTCTCTGGGCCTCGGGCCGCCTCCCACAGGGGGCCCCTACCCACCCCCCCGATCCCTGTCTCCTCAGCGCGGTTCGGGCCCGGCTGTACCAGGTGCTGGATCTGTGGGTCCAAGTGGCCGGAGCGGCCTCGGGGCTCCTTCTGGGGCACAGCAGCCAAAGCGACGCCCTCCTGGGACACTTGATCCAGGACATCAGCCCCCCGAGCGACGCCCTGAAGGTGAGCCCACCCCACCCCCCCTCCCTTCTTCTGCCCTGGAGGGCGGGGCCGCCCTCCCTGACGTGCTCTGCTCTCCCCCTCCCCCTCCCCTTCCCCAGATCCAGCCAAGCCCCGCCTTGGAGGGGAAACCCAGCGCCGCGAAGAAAGCCAAACTCTCTCCGGCGAGCGGCCTGGGCTGCCCGTTCCGCAAGCACGACCCTCAGGCCAACAGCGACGTGTGCCTGGCGGCTCTGCAAGGTGACGTTTTCCGCCCTCGGGAGGGGGGGGGAGGGAGGGGCGCAGGCCAGGCTCCCTCTTCGGTCCCCGCTGGAAGGGGAGCAACCTCGTCCCCCGCTATCTGGGCCAGCCCTTCCCCCTTTGAGCAAACCTCCTCTCTTCTCCAGGCCTGAGCCGGGCCATCCTCACCTCGGGCAGCCTGATGAGAGAGCAGCTACACACGGTGAGCCAGGCGGGGCGAGGGAGGGCGACGGGAGAGGGAGGGGAGTGCCCCGTGCCGAGGGAGAGGGGGGGAGAGCGCTCTACTCCTCCCGCTGAGAGAGACCCTCCGTCCCCAGAGGCTGCAAGAGCTGGCCATCCCGCTGCTGATCCGGCTGGGCCAGGCCGACCTGCCTCTGGGTTCCCCCTACGCCAGCGCCGGCTGCCGACGCGAACTCTACCGTCTGCTGCTGGCCCTCAGCCTGGCGCCCGCCCCTTCCTGCCCGCCGCCTCTGCACTGCGCCGTCCGGTTGCTGAGCCAGGGCCGGACGGATCCCAACCTCCTGGTGAGCATCCGGTTTCCTCCACCCTGCCTTCTCGCTCTGTCGCGGCGTCAGTGTGGGAACGGAGGAGGAGGAGGGGGGCGGTTTTCCCGAAATAACGGCTCTCCCCCGTGCCGATTCTCCCGCTACCGGACATCCCGCCTCTCTCTCTCTCTCCCGCGCAGGTCTCGTCCTTCTGCACGGAGGCCTCGGTCATCTGCAACGCCCTACTACACCCTCGCGTGCCCTCTCTGCAGATGCCGCTCCCCGGCCCTCCCGCTCACCTGCCGGGCTCCTCGCAGGTCTCCCCGGCGGTGGCGGCGGCGGCCGCAGCGGCTGCCAGCCTGTCCCCCTTCTGCCCGGCCGTCCCAGGGCCTTTCCCCGCCCTCCGGCCGCTCCCTCCGGCCCCCGGGCCTCTCCCGGCTAGCTTGCTGGGCCTCCCCTTGTCGGGGCTGACCGCTCCCCCGCTGCCTCCCCGGCTTCTCCCCGAGGATCCCCTTCCCCCTCCCTCCCCGGGCCCCGGCGAGGCGTCGGCCCTGGGCCCCGGCGCCAAGCTGCGGCGCTCCGTCTTCGTCCATTACGACAAGGAGGAAGAGGAGGACGTGGAGATCTCGCTGGAGAGCGACTCGGACGACAGCGTGGTCATCGTGCCCAAGGGGCAGCTGGGGAAGGCGGCCGTTGCTGTTGCCGCGGCCCCGAACTCGGCCCCGGGGCCCGCGCCTCCCGCCCCACCGCCCCCGCCCGCCCCGCCCGCCCCCCCTCCTCTCCCCACACCCCCTTTGGTGGCCTGTGAGGAGGCCGCCCCAGAGCCCCCGGCGGCCCTGACTCTGGCGATCCCCCCGCCGGCCCCGGCCGCACCGGTCCTGCCGCCTTCCCCGGTGGCCGTAGCCGCCGAAGCCCCCTTGCCTCCGGCGCTGCTGGAGGAGGACCCCACCGTCATCAACATCAACAGCAGCGAGGAAGAGGAGGAGGAGGAAGAGGAGGAGGAGGATTTCCCCGAGGACGAATTCCTGGACGAGGAAGAGGAGGAGGTGAGGCCGGGACGGAGCGGCCGGGGAGTCCCCGGTTCCCAGAGCGGGGAGGGCGGGAGTGCAGCTACGGCGGAGCCCCGGCTGGAGCGCGGACGGTCCGGTGGCAGGGCAGCGGCTCGGGGGTGTGTGTGTGTGTGTGTGGGGGGGTGTGGGTGTGTCAGTAGCTTCTTTTTTTTTTTTATGAACAAGTTTTATTGATTTTTGAAGACAAACAAAATATAACACATAGAGGTATAAAACCTCCTTTTCTAAGAATTACTTATAAGTTTCAACGAGGCAAATAAAGCATTATTTTTTAAAACATAGTTCCACATTATCACACTTCCATTTACACCTATATATCTTTTCCCAATTTCTCATTATTTCTCCCTTCGCTTTCATTCAATCGTGTTTCCTTCTATCAAAGTGTCAGTAATTCTCAATCAATCCTAAGCACACAAAATACATAACCTAAAGCAAAACATTGGAGAGAAAAAAAAACCCAAAAACCTCCTTAGTTATCATTTATACATACCTTTTCCCGATTTCTCTCCCTTTAATTTCATTTCTCCAAGATTTTATTAATTTAGAATTAATTTATTAGAATGAATAAATAATTTTATTAATTAAATCATCCACACACTAAACAAAAAACTTCTTTTGAGAAGTGACTTGGCC